CCCATGACGCCGTATGGTATGGAATGGCCCTTGGGGCAGTTGGGATCAACTCTCCTGGCTGTGCCCCCTCCCAGCTTCTTGTGCCCCTGGCAGAGCATGGGAAGCTGAAAGGTCCTTGACTGGCTGAGGGAGCTGGGGGTGTTCAGCCTGGAGAAGAGGAGGCTGAGGGGAGACCTCATCACTCTCTGCAGCTCCTGACAGGAGGGGACAGGGAGGCGGGTGTTGGGCTCTTCTCCCAAGGAACCAGCGATAGGATGAGAGGAAATGGGCTCAAGCTGCATCAGGGGAGGTTTAGATTGGATATTAAGAAAAATTTTTGACGGGAAGAGTGGTGAAGCATGGGAAGAGGCTGCCCAGGGAGGTGGTGGAGTCCCCAGCCCTGGAGGGGTTCCAAAAACGGGCAGAGGTGGCACTTTGGGCCATGGTTTAGTGGGCATGGGGGTGTTGGGTTGATGGTTGGACTGATGATCTTAGAGGTCATTTCTAATCTTAATGATTCCTAGTTTTACTTTCATTAAAAATAATGCAGCCACCAAGCCAGGGAACATGAAATTATTCCTCTCCCCTTAATTGGTTTGGTGGTGGCCTTGGCAGTGTTAGATCAATGGACTGAATGATCTTAAAGGTCTTTTCCAATCTAAACGATTCTATGAAATCCTCCTAGCATGATTTCTTTTAGATGGCCATAGAAATCATGACCTAAGCACACCCACCGTACTGTTATACCAATAATCCAAACTTTTTTTTGCTCAGATGCAAGAGTCAACATTGCGGATTCCTAATACAGAGTAAAATAAAATCCACCCGGAGCATGCAGCTGAGCAGGGGCTGTTTTTCTTAAGAGAAAGCCACAGAAAAAGATGGTGGGAGATCTTTATAACACTTACCTTTCAGAACAGCTTGCTTTATCCTCAGCTTGGACATTAGAGGGTCTTGTCTCGCATTAAGAGTTGTTCATGCTATTTGCATAACAACATGGCTCAGGGAGCAGCAAGGACCAGTTACTCCCTAAGGGAAAGGCAAACTGGGAGCTGAAGGTGGCCACAACACAGGGTGGGCAACAACCTCACCCACAGGACATGGTCCCACAGCGCCTGAGCAGAGCGGCAGCTCCTATCTATGGCCATGGGGAAACCAATGGCCAAATTCAAACCAGGAAAGCTGGGGACCAGGACCGGGACCAGGACCGGGACCAGGACCAAGCACAGCTCTGAAAATGGTTAAAGACCCAGGGCTGAGCTTAAATAGTGCCCCAAACCTGGGGCAGAGGGTGTGGGTGGAGGCCCCAGGTGGTGCTGGCCATAGCAATTACCATGGTTGCACTCCCTAATGTCTCAGGGAGAGGAGAGCTGGTTTTTTCCCCCACCCAGTGCCCTAAACACAGCCACAGCAGCGTGTCCAGCCTTCTCTATGTGTCCCCATGCACAGAGGATGGAAGGACAGAGCAGAAAGGAGCAATAAGCTCCTTTGCTGCGTGTTAAGGATTCCCCTCCCTCCCTCCCAGTCACGCAGAGTAAGGCACTTCAGATGTCATGTTCTCTGTTTCTTAGGGGAAGTGTCCAAATGCCTCTACTTTCCATGAGAAGTCCATCAGAAACTTCGATTAAAAGCTTTATAGCATTTCACTTCATGCCAGCTTAAAGCTGGTTTTTACTGGTTGCCATTGCGTTCATTATTATTATTCATTACAGTTCTTTTAGGAAGACCACGGTTTACATAGATGCTTATTCTAAAACATAAAATTTATTCACTTTGTCATCATACAAGCTCCATGTTCTTCCAGAAATTGTATAGTTCATTAAACATAAAAGGTGTGTCTTGATTAAATGTTTAAAAAAAACCCTTTGTCTACTGTTTTCTTTAGAGCATCTTCCACCTTAGCCATGCGATGACATACGTAACTCAATCAAATGTGGTTCAGTGATTGCCACACAAAGAATGGGCTTCTTACTGCTCCTCTTACTGCTCATCCAACTATGAAAATAGTAAAAGATCTAAAGAAAACATGTCCCAAGAAGATTTTGGTTGGGCCAAACGTGCTAACATGTGTGTGCCCGTAACAACAAGTCGTTAGCACGGTTCCAGGCCCCTGGAGCCAACACCATGGCTTTGTGCTTTCTGATGGTTCGTCTATACATTGGTCAGAAATTGCATCTGAGGTCAGAGCTGAAATTACACCCCACTCTTGCCAGGTCACTCACATCAGATAAACGTACCCCTCTTGTCAGGATCACCTCTGGCAGTATCCTGCAAACCTTCTCAGCCCCTCCTTGTACAGCCAACCGCCATGTCCCACTTGCAGCCTTGATGAAGAGGACCTCACTGATGCCTGCCTCGGCAAAGCCTTCATAAGAGCAGCTCTAATAGTGCGCCTAGAAAAAAATCAGAGAGTCCGGGCCACATTGCAGCTCCCCATATATCACTGACTTAAACAGATCCTCGGTTCTTCAAGGTCATTTGGGAAAAATGAGTATCAAGCAGGCAATGGAAATATCAGTAATTGTTTGCCTCCAATGTGAGCGTCCTTTTTGTGGGCAATATTTGCATTTAACACAATTTAGACACAAAATACTGTGGTACTATTTCGGCTAGGGAAGCACTGACAATTATTTTGATTAATTATTGAAGGCTCACGCCACGATTAAAAGCAGCTGAAGTTGTTCGAGGAGAACCATTCGTTACGCTAGTTCTCCACACCCTGTACTTGCTGTGTGACCTCCTTGTCTGTAAGCAGACCAGTAATGACCGATAACACATATTCCCTCCCAAGCACCGAAGACCTGTCGTACATCACGTACATCACGTACATCGCCTTTTCAAATCCTGGATAGATGCGGCACGAGCTTTCGCACCCACAGCCTCCTCAGGGCCCCCTTCACCTCCTTGTTCCTCAGGCTGTAGATGAGGGGGTTGAGGGTGGGGGTCAGGAGGGTGTAGCATGCAGAAACCAGCTTTGCCTGACACCGTGAGCACGCCTCGCGAGTCTGGCCGTAGGCGAGCATCCCCGGCGCGTAGAAGATGGCGAT